TTTTTTCCAGTCCTTAATTTAGTAATTAAGACTATATATTATTTATTTACAGCATTACTGCAAAACGATTTAGAGTTTATCATTCTCTATCATATCATTCTGGTTCTGAGCTACTAGTGACTCAGTCAAAAAACAGAAGTATAGCAGGAGCAGACAGTGGGGATGCTAATGGAGGTGATTTTTAACTACTTCACCGTGATTTTTTTGTTTTGTTCTTTGTTTTTTTTTTTATTGGGGGGGGGGGTGTCCCAGTAATTTTTGAAGGAGCTCCCCCCACCTTCCATAAATACGCCACTGGGGGAAGATATAGAGCTATTCAGTTAATCTATTCTCCCTGTGAAGTCATTTTTAGAAAAGCAAATAGACGTTTAAGCTATTAGATTTAATCTTGAAATTAAGTTTAAAGTGGCATTTGCAGACATGGATAGTGCTCTTGTGATCCCTAGCTACCACAGAACACAGAACAGGAAAATGACAGTGTCGAAAAATCGTCCAACTTCGAAAAAAAATGAGCCAAATTGGACTCAAAATGTGGGACCTCGCATGAATTAAACAATAGTCATATCAATTCATATTTCATATGAAGCAAATGTGTATAAAGTTTTCAGCAAAGTTGTATTAATACGGACCCAATGATGGTAATGACGATTATGGTGATAATGAACTTAAGGTACATTTTGTTGTGGCTTATGCACTTGACAACCGTTCAAAAATTAGTCCTTACTAGTACACATGATTTACCTATGTTTATTCACAAACGTGCCTCCAAATTTTACTACATTCATTTGAATTACCAATAACTCCATTAAGGTGTAGCAACCGACCCTTAATAAAGAAAATATAAGCAGTCTTGTAATTCTGAAGTCCCAATATCCCTGCAGTCTCACAGCTTAATGAAAAAATGTATTAGAAAATAGCTTACAAAAAACATTGTTTATACAAATCTGAGCTTCAACATCAGTAAAAAATAAATGTTTGGAAATCCATATTTGGAAATTTAGATTTTGACACGACAGATGTTGAGATTAATCATATGTATTTTAACAATATATAAATAATAATAATAATAATAATAATAATAATAATAATAATAATAATACTGTAATAAAACAAATAATAAACTTAATAGTAACAACAGGACAAAAATAATTACAATTACACTCTATTTATAACGCCTCTTAACAGCAAATTTATAAATTGATAAATTGCAAATTTACTAAGTATACATAAATCACCTTAACTTTTTAGTCACATGAAGTTATTCCATAAATATATATTATAATCTCCTCACAATATTATATTTGTGATGCATCAAATATTCTTAATCTTCTTCCATTTTCTTTCCAAATAACTTTGGCAAATGACAGAAAAACTGGTACACATCAGAATTAAAAGTATACTGTATATTAGTACTTGGTTCCTGCGCCAAGGAACAAAAAGGATGTAAAAAGTGACCAATTTTAAGATGTTACAAAAACATTGATAGGATATCCTAAGTTTATTTAAAATTCAGACAAAAACAATACTACAGTTTGTTCTAGCTCAGTTACAACCTATTAATCTCAGCATCACAATGCTGAGAATGCTTACTATTTTGCTTCTATATATTTTTACCTTCTCTAAATCAGATGAGTTTAAAATTGTAATATTCAATTTGGATTTACGTTCAAATGTTAAAGCTTTACAAACATTAAAGCTTTACAAACGTTGGCTTGCATTTTCTAAAACTGCTGCTGCTACTACTAATGTACACTCATAGATCGGCATATATTTGGTAGAACACAATGTATTTAGAAAATAGCTTAAAAAACATTGTCCCTTAAAAAAAAGTCTCCCACACCCCCCCCCCTACCTATTGAAAAAGTTTGAAGCAAACAATTATGCTCAAGTAGATAAAAATCACCCCATATTACCTTATTTTAAGAGCTAGTGCCCCCCCCCCCTCACACCACTTTACCTTTGCAACCCTAAAGAGCCCTCCCCAGCCCACTTCAAACAGGTGTGGCACCAGGATTTGACCAACTGAGGGTCTGAGGTCCCGGGGGAGAGCGATGTCCCCGACGAGAGCTTTCACCAACGAGAGCTTTCCCCGACAAGAGCAAAGTGGGCATGGTCGAGCGTCCATTAAAATGTTTAGAAAGTGCACCAAAAGACAAATCCCCCAAAATTTTGCCAATTTAGAAAATACATATAAACTTTTTTTCACCTGATTGGGGGCCCCTAGGGCCCCCACTCCGCTGGCACCACCCCTGATTTCAAGACTCCTAGATACACTACTGTGTACACTTATTTATTAATTTCTAATTACTCGACAGAAAAATTCAAAGACTTTAAATTATGACATGTTCATTCTTTGGCCTAAAGAACATGAAGACCTTGTCTTTTTTTATTTTACGATTAATTTCATATAAAAATGGAATGGTTCAGCCCAGTAGCCTATTAGTTGCATGTTTCCAGTGTGCATTGTAAATTCCATTTCCAAATAAATAATTATTTAATCAAAAAGTATGAATTCTTTGCAAGACATCTTTCGTAATATGCCTATGAATAGCTGTTCAACAAAACTAATTTTATAAGCATTTAGTATGTTTAGCCTGACAAAACCCTGTCTTATGAAGGGAAAAAAACTCGGAACAAAAGTCTTAAACCTACGACAAATTATTATCTAAAGATGGATAGTTTCATGTTGGCAATTTTACAGTTCAATAAAACCTATGGATACCCTGATGAAAACTGAGCCAATCTCCATCATAAATAACTTAAGTTAGTAAGGCTACATCACTTAAAAAGGCACAACACTTTATATATTGCACTTAAGACGTAACATATTACATCATTATAACAACGTAATCAATTAATAGGGGTGTCACTTGTAGTGGCGCAAGCCGGCATCATGCATTGAACGAACGTCAGCCGACGAAACCAAATCCGCTGCCTGGGAGCGCTGGACAAGACGAAGCCATCTGCTGATTGTCGGCGGCACTCCGAATGGATTGTCATTAAAAACGATCCATTGCGTGTATCGCAGCCTTGCGCTCTTCTTAGTATCACATCGGCCAACAACCGCTGAATGCAGTGAGTGTCCGGCCTAACAATCATGAGCTCTGACTGGGGCACCAGGCATTAAAGGCCCTGCAATATTTATAAGCATATTTGCCCAATAAATTGGCCAAGTAGGACTTTTTTTTTTCAGGTGGTGCTAACATGTAAATAAAATACTTAAAATATCAAATACAGCAAGCAGACTGGCTTTTCCAGCAGGATAGTAGGGCACCAGGAAGCCTTTAGCCCGGGGCCTTGTACCTCTTTCTTATGCCACTGTTCACTGAGAGACTGTTAAGCTCTGTCCAAATTATCAAATTTTCATTGACGAAAAACTATTGTGTTCTCATATTCTAATAGTCATGATGTGCCTATATATGGTCACGATGTGCCCATATATGGTCATGATGTGCCTATATATGGTCATGATGTGCCTATATATGGTCATGATGTGCCTATATATGGTCATGATGCGATGTCATCATTACCGTATTTAAGCATGCCACATGTTTTTGTCAAATAAAATTTGATAGTCAGGACAGCTGGGCTTTACACATTACGCAGGTTTGTAAATACTGAACAGCATCATTCAATACGCCAATCTTTAAGCATCATCGAAATGGTGGTACACAGTGTTTTGGGAAATAGCTCGGAATAATCCAGGCAATATGATTCTGTGAACAGTTTCTATTCGATTAATGAATTTTATTTTGCTTCCTATGAATGTTGTGATGGTCCCCGAGTCAGACTTTACTTTAAGGGTTACCCTCATGATAGCCTGGGTCCTAGGCTCTAAATTTGGGTTACCGGTACTCACTTTTTATTGCACTTTGTGCGCACCATACCATATTTAACTGTCGTTCCCATACTTGATTTCTTTTTTTTTTTTTAATTATTATTATTCTGTCTCTAAATTAACTTACTCATTGGTGGTGCTGTCCAGAATGAGAACCAAAAAATAATAGGGGACTTGCAAGAATATTAAGTAAGTAAATTTATATGCAAGTATGTTTTTGTTTTTAAGCGACAACTTTGGCATTGAAAATTTGATTTATATACAGTAGAGGCAGGACGGATTAAACCTCGGAATGATTTTATATTGGGAATGTCCACTGATTAAATATAGATAAACATTATGAAAACAATCAGCAATGTATAAAGATATTTATAAGACAACTATTATGATATTTTGTACAACACACACTAAAAATAACAGAATGCTATTTGTTGGCAAAAAAGTTAAGTAATAATAGTATAGGCAGGATCTGTAAGTTTTTACATACAGTACACAATATAACCATGGAGGTATAAGGTAATAATATTTATACTAACAGTGCATGAAATACCAAGTTTAAATAATAACAATACTTTCTGTTGCAATTTGCATGATAGGAAATTGTCCGACACTCAGGAATTAAATCCAGAGGAATACTGTAAATGCTTGATTAAGCGCCGCAGTGCTTATACAATTTTTGGAGGCTTTGGTGCGGCGCTTGTTCAAGAGCGGCGTTTACTGGCGTGGTGCTTTCCATGCCCGTTCCCATGTTAACTATCTCACATATTTACGTAATTCAGTAGGCCGATCATAGGTCCTACGTCCTAATAAATAAACGTTTATAAAGATTTGCTTGTATTTAAAACCCTGTTTCACAAAGTGTTTCCTTACACACAGGGCAATATACTCACGAATAAGCGCAGCGGCGCTTAGCGAAAAAAATCAGGTTTGGTGCGGCGCTTATTCAAGAGCGGCTCTTGTTCGAGCATTTACAGTAGTCCAAACCCTGAGGGTCTTAACTATCAGAAAAGTCTGAAATGCTACACCTGGGTGGGGTCTAAGTCCAGGGTGTAAAACTTAGGAGAAAAAAATCCAACCTTTGGGCATCCAAATCCAAACAAGCCCAACATAATTACCAAAATTTGCAAAAGCACAAAAAATGCATCAACAGTAGCATATCTTGGAGAAGGGGGTATGCACAAAATTTGCACTCCAAATGCCCATAAATTAAAACTTAAATAATTACAAAAAAAGTTCAAAAATCACTTCATTTGAGCTGGCACCCTTTTCTTTTCTATTGCCAGCCCTTCACCTGCCCTTGGCTAACAAAGGATATCAGCTCAGGATTCGATAAACACATTTTGACAATAGAAAATATTGTACATTTAAAACAGATGTTAGCCTATTATAGTGTTTACCATTGGTTTGACATGTGCCTTTGTGGGCTTTACTAAGCATAATATTCATATTTTCAGAATACAAATAATACTAGATATGCCACTCAAAAAGTTTTTAAGTTCATTACAAAAACAAGAATATAGCCAAGCCTGATTGGACGGACTCCTGTGTTCCATTGCATAAAATATCCATTAAAAACCTACACATAATTTGTTATTTAATCTAAAAATCCACTACAAAAAGTTATGTTACTAGAAAATTTGGCATTGTTTGTTTTAATCAATATGTCATATTTCATAACAAAATATGCATACATTTAATTAAACAATTATATATATATATTATAAAAAATGTATTTCTCAGCTATCTTACAAAAAAAAAACATACTTTGAGTAAATAAACAACTTATGTACAGAAAAAAAAAATATGATTTAAACTATGTTGATTGAAAATCTTCAAATATAAAAAAGAACAGCATTTTCAGGCATAAATATTAGAAACAATCGATTAACCGAATTATGTTGGTTTCTCAGTACTGTATGGCGTTGTGTAGTATTTTTCTCTCTTGAAAAAAACATCTGCATTAGTCAACTTTGTTGAGCTTTGTCTACACTATACACATATGTGCCCATATATGGTCATGATTTGATGTCATCGTTAACCATATTAGGCATGCCACATGTATTTTACCCCAAAACATTCCTGCCTTTGGTTGAAATGGTTGAGGCTGTATTTTATTACTTTCCCTCCACAAACACGCTGCTGTCTCAGTATTTTCGCCCTCCTACCCGCTCCTGCCTTGGCATCGTAAACCCCGACACAGTGAGGGAGTTAGGCTGGTTCTTTGATGATAGCGAGTAAGTATTGCGTTTGGTCAGACGTTTATGGTGATGGCCGTTTGTTACATCCTGTTTATCAGTAGGCACTTCAAAGAAAGAATTTCAAATTTATAAACAAGACCGATTAATGATCAGTAGAAAAATAGAATATATGCATTATACTTTCACCCCAAATTAAATATATTAGTTTTTTTAAATTGTTCTCAAACTTTCATTAACAATAAAATATTAGCCTTTTATAGCACTCATGCTTCATTATTATTTAACAGTGAAATGTAGCATTTCAGCTTATAGAGTACTACAGTTTTACGTCACGATACCACGTGCTACTACTCCGTTGCTATCAGCGACGCAAAATGGGTTCAACCGACGCCATTTTCTCCACTGACAAACCATTGATCCCAATTTTTTAACATAATTATTAAAGAGTTGTATCTTTATTTTTCTTTGTAAATGTTTAAAATTGATGATTAAATGTGTGTTCGATAATATAATGCGAACTTTTTGTTTTTTTAGTACATTTTGATGGTAAATTATTAGGTTTTAAAATGCCTATTCCAGAAAGCCTATTCTAAACCATTAAAATTATTAAGTCATTCAGGCGTAATGAATGGTAACCAACGTCTAGAGGGCGGCACCTGGTTTTGTGACAACACAACTGTGGTACTATACGAAGCTGCATTTCTATCAATTTGATGAATAAAAATATAAAATATACATAAAAGAACCACAAATGTTTATATACTGTATACCAGATCAAAATGAATAATCTATTTTTTTAAATTCAAATCTCATCCAACTGATAATTTCTAATCACCTCGATATGATCTTTGAATGGTTTGCCCTTTTCCTCTTTCACTGCCAAGTTGATGAACTACAGAGGGCGGTGTTTCAATGCTTTCTAAACGATTGATATCTTGATCACCTAAAGAAAGAAACAAACATAAATGTGAATGAAGTAGAATGAAAGTTACTTTTAAAATCAAATACAGGTCTCTCTTTAATTAAGTACCCCTCCAATTAAAGACCACTTTTTTGTGGTCAATTATACCCGGCTAACCGCTCAGACCGTCTAAAGACCACTTATAGCAATTCACCCCTGAAGTGGAAAGTTAGTTTGGGACTTGAACTCTGACCTATAAGTTTGAGAGCCTGAACAGTAACGGTGCAGCCATTCAGGCTTCCACCATGATTTTTTTTCATAATTATTTCAATTATTTTCATTAGTATCATCATCAATATTATCATTTTGTTGAAGATAGTGCATACAATGTATACTAAATATTAAGGTATCAAATATTTTTCCAAATGCCAGATATCTACCTGTATGATGCTTGATTGAGTGTTTGGTGACCTTTGAACCTCGTGCTCGGCCATCTTGGTTCCAGATGTAGGGTTTCTGTATTGTTCTCTTTGGTTGAATGTGTTGTTCAGAATTTGACGGCCTAGTGCGCGTCACAATATTCTTAGATTGATTTACCTAAGAATACAAATAAAAAATGAAAAAGAAGATGACAAATCTCACAAAACCTCAACTACAGTTTTACTCCACTTACAAACCCACACATCACTATCATTAATATATATCTGGTACTCTATGCGCTTACAACTTACCTACCTACTTTTATTATTCTATTATTATGCAGTTTTTAGTTCATATGATTATATGAGCGGGGAAAAGTGGATTTAATTACCAATCAACAACCGCTAGTGATGCAATCACTGAGATATCGAATATGTTGGTGTGTACTTTGATTGCAATTTAACATTCTAAAATTTCTAAAAGAATTAGAGTCATTTGCTTTATCAAACAGTTCCTACCTTTTAACACAATTAAAATGTTATTAAATACACATAATGCCTTATTATTTGACTATTGTATTCGCATTTGGTCAAACGTTACTACAAATTATATAAATGAGCTCCAATTCTCCAAATAAAAGGTTAGGTAGGATTATGTCGATGATATAATGAATGACTCATGATGGAGTAAGTTGACAGATAGATGAAAAGGTCACCTACTATTGCTTATACAGTATTTAAGTGCCTGAGAGGAATCGCCCTATTAAAATACCCAATCTCAGTGTACTAAAAGTACATCTGACAACTCCTTGATGGGGCAGCAATGGAAGCTTCTACACGGCAAGAGTTCAGTATATTTATCGTTGTCCTGAGTTTGTGCATGTTCAGAGTTACTAATGTTGGTATAAGCCTATATTAGGCTGTCACACCTACCTGTACACTATCCGAAATTTTCCTGACTCTCTTTTTGCCCTCAATCGGTTTTCTTAATCTGTCTTTATGATAGCGTATCCGTGATGCTTGACCTGCCCTATCATGTGCTATCATCGACACAGCATCGGACCTGTCACTGATCATCGTACCCGAAGGCGACAGCATCTTGTACGGAGTAACATTCTGATGAAATCTGTTAACTTTGGAAGGACGTGGAAAAGAAGTTATAAACTCTGGTTTTATTTCTGGTTCGGTGAGTTCATGAACAGAGTTCAACGACCCAACCCCACGGTCGTTATGCAAGTTCCTTTTGTCATATTTACTATAAAGCTGATTTGATTTTCTTTTCGCAGCTACAAGAGCAATTCTCTGTGTTTTTTTCACCATTTCTTTCTTTTCACTCTCTTCAGTGTCCGATTCAATTTTATCTAGGTTCTGCATTGACCGGCTAAACCTTGATTGGTCAGATACTATCTTGTAATCGTTGCTAAAACTGTCATTCAAGTCCACCATACTTCTTGCTAAAGGTGTTGCAATCTTAAACGGTGACTCTACCTGAACCTTCGGTACTGTGACTATCCCAGCACGCTCACGAATTTGCTTTGATTTCGGGCTGATGTTAAAAATACGTGGCTGGCTTGTGTTTGCTACTGGAGCTACCTTCTCAGGCAAATCTATTTTCTCTTTCACGTCCAATGCAGTGGGCAGCGGTGCCCGGATATTTAACAAGGATGCGGCACGTTCTAATTGGTTCTCAATTGAGTTGTCATCGTTCATGGCCGTCAGGTCTTCTATGGTCAGCTGACTGTACTTTTCATACATCTCCTCAAGTTCGTTCGGGATTTGGATTCCGTGATCTTCGAGGAGCATTCTTTGTTGACGTATGATAGCCTCGCTGAGATCTTTGTTCATTCGGAATTGAGAGATCGTCACATTCTTCTGCTGTATAACATTCTGGTGTAAAAGAGCAAATGATTTGAGTTCCATGTTTTCGATCTCTAACTCGTGAACTTTGCACAACATTCGCAGAATTTCGCGCTGTTCCTGGTTACTTACACGCTTTGGCATTTCAGCTTCAAGACGTATCGAGACTTCTTGTGACTGGGTTATTTTCTTCCTCAGCTCATGGCTGCGGTTCTTCCATCTGTTTTGCTGAGCCATCAGTTTTGCTACTTCCTCTCGGGCTGTTGCCACCTCTATCGGTTCCATAGGCTCTGAGACTAGACTTTCAGTATCACTCTCTTTATCAAAACTTTTACGATCTTGTTTGTTGCGAGCAGCTTTCCTTGTCCGTTCTTGTTCATACCTTTTTTAAAGAAAAGTGAAACAAAATATCATACCTAACAATACCTTATATATTTTCTTATTTCCTTAATTATATTATATTCTATATTTCCAATTTTTTAATATAATAAATCAAATTGTCAATATAATAATCAATAAATAAATTAATTAAATAAATTAAATTAAAAATACTACAAGAGTTACAGATTACTTTTGAATGGTGATTAACTTATAATTTGGTATATAAATTATACTCAATGTATATTTACTATATATATAATTGACATTTAGCATACAATTTTTTGCAATAAAATATCGACAGTAAACTGTTTTCAGTCTTTACTGATTTAAGCCTAATTTCCATGGAAATCGTTACACGCTATCACAGACTCTTTTGGCGATGCTGATTGGTCAATTGAATTAGGGCGCCTTCTTGAATGTGTTGGGGACAGCTACGCAGTGCAACGACTACAGTAAATAAAAAAAAAGGTATCGACCGTGTAGCGACTGTATAGAAACCAAACTTCACTAACAATTTTAAACAACTTTAAAAACCAAGACTATGCGCAAGAACAATCATATATTAATGACATCACTCACTCAGACACAATGCTGATATATTTATTACTGTCCATCGCACGGGCGAATCTATAAGATTCTAACTCAATCAGGTTCTGACGATTCAGCATCCTTTCCCGAAAGTTCTCCGTGAGCAGGTCACGCAACCTCTCCATCTCACTCCGATCTTGCATAATTGAAGTTCTTTCTACTTCAGCTGCAAAAAAATGTTCAAAATGCATTTTTATGTTCTGTTTTCTTATGCCAACGATTTTATCAACAATGAAAAAAAAAGATAATATGGATATACATGGTTTATAAACTTCGTAAAAGGTAGAAATATTGCGACAAATACATAAGATAAAGTACTATAAATTTAGGACATTGTAAGTAAAACTTTGTGTAAACCATGGTTTTAAAATAAGTGAAATGAAGATATACAAGATGAAATTTTCCCTATTTTTTTAAAGCCATAAAAGATAAAAAACAGCATAAGTTGAATCTTGCTTTGTGAGCGTTTGATTTTTATGACATCTTCTGATGTCTGCGGTTGACATTATGATTGGATCTTTATCAAAAATGGTCAATTGTTGTTTCTGTGGAATTACCAACAACTGTCTACGCTGTGTGTGCCTATGTTAACTGTCTAAAATGATTTAATATATTGTGTTTAAAAGGACTTAAATTTTAAAAACTGTTTCAGAAAAAACTTAGATGGTCATAATTTACCCATGTTTACATTTACATATTCTACGATACTCTGCTTAATAGTCTTGGCAAAAATAATTCATTTGAATATTGACAACATTCAGCAACATACTAGAGAGCCATTCCATTTTATTACTGGCAATAAACTTTTACTACACCAACCTTAAAACCAACTTCTAAATCTGATTATATTGTTTGAATCTAATCCGTTTTACTATAACATGCAATTAGAATTAGGAATTGGTTTATGACTGGTGTAACAATAGCAAATAACTAATCTTTTTTGCTCTTACAGTGTATCTCTTGTATTTTTGATGTGGACCTAGTCTTCTGTATCTCAGACTCCTGGTCCGTGATCTTTGATTTCAGCCTTAGTATTTCTTTACGGAGATCAGTAATTATACTGGTGTACTGTGCAATGTGGTATGACACATTCATTAGATTTGGTCGCACCTGAAATGAAATTTATGCAAATTACTTCAAGAAAAATTATGACATTATTATGAATGAAATTACACATTACAGAAAAATTAACCCTAAAGGGAATACAAAAAAAATAATGGTTGTGGCCAGCTTTGGTAAAACTCACTATTTGATGCTATTTCTAATTTCCTACAAGCACCCAAAACGTGCGAGAATCAGAATTTTCAACATATTCATGTTTTTACTTTTATAAGAGAAGATATATTATATTGAAGAACATTTATGCAAAATATCAATCACTTAAAATTTAACTGAAAAGTATCTTAAAATTCTTTTCAAAATAAAAATCTTCTATTGATTTTGAAATGTTTGGAAGCTGTTTCTCAAAACCTACATGATATTAAAAAAATAAAATATTCATAACTTCGCTAATACTCAACCAACTCAATAAATAAACACTGTTTTAAAGAACAATTCATGCTGAATCTAAAAAGAAAATTTTGAATTTTTCCTAAAACAGCTTGTTTTACCAGAGTCGGTCACATTTGATAGGATGATTAATAATTACCTTCGTTTTGATATTTTTAGCTCTGTCTGCATAGAGTAAGGTATTTCTGGATTCTTCATAGTATAAGCTTGCCGGGCTCAAGTGAGCAATCATTACTGTACGGCAATTACCACCCAGAGAATCCTATAAATACCAAAACAGCATTTTCTTAGCAATGATTTTTACAGCTTAATAATATAAAATACTAATAATGATATTAAACATTAATAATAAACCAAAAGCTACAACATATACCAAAGAATCCTATAAATATTTGGCCAAATCAAGGGGTCGAGCGGTATGGGAGGGGCACCGCTAACCCTAGCCTTAACATCGGCACTGGTTTGAGCAGCTTCTGGCCCAGGATAGGGTTGGTAAAACCAAGTCTTCTTGGATCAGGACTAGCATACATATCTACTTTGTGTGCACTTTAATGAACCTATAGCATCTTTTGGAAAAGTAGGGGATTACTCCGATGCTATGGTTCACTTCAGCTACTGTTGACATGAAATTGAAGCTACTCACTGAGAGCATTTCAATGGCTGTTACAGTAGTCACGGACCATGTCCGTACGCAATTCAGCACAACGATGCTGTGAGTAATGGGTTATTCTCCTACCTACATTTACCTTTACATATCAAAACATTTATGATAAACTAAAAACAATATATTAAACAATACTGTATAATATTAGTATACAGTAAAACTTACCTAAGTCAAATAATTTACAAGTAGATCTTATTATATTGAAGAACATTTATGCTAAATATCAATCACTTAAAATTTAACTGAAAAGTATATTAAAATTCTTTTCAAAATAAAAATCTTCTATTGATTTTGAAATCTTTGGAAGCTGTTTTCTCAAAACCTACATGATATTAAAAAAATAAAATATTCATAACTTCGCTAATACTCAACCAACTCAATAAATAAACACTGTTTTAAAGAACAATTCATGCTGAATCTAAAAAGAAAATTTTGAATTTTTCCTAAAACAGCTTGTTTTACCAGAGTCGGTCACATTTGATAGGATGATTAATAATTACCTTCGTTTTGATATTTTTAGCTCTGTCTGCATAGAGTAAGGTATTTCTGGATTCTTCATAGTATAAGCTTGCCGGGCTCAAGTGAGCAATCATTACTGTACGGCAATTACCACCCAGAGAATCCTATAAATATCAAAACAGCATTTGCTTAGCAATGATTTCTACAGCTTTAAGAATATAAAATACTAATAATGATATCATACATTTATAATAAACCAAATGCTACAATATATACCAAAAAATCCTATAAATATTTGGCCAAGTCAAGGGGTCGAGCGGTAAGGTAGGGGCACGGCTAACTCTAGCCTTAACATCGGCACTGGTTTGAGCAGCTCCTGGCCCAGGATAGGGTTGGTAAAACCAAGTCTTCTTGGATAAGGACCAGCATACATATGTACTTTGTGTGCACTTTAATGAACATATAACACCTTTTGAAAGAGTAGGGGATTACTCCGATGCTATGGTTCACTTCAGCTACAGTTGACATGAAATTGAAGCTACTAAGAGCATTTCAATGGCTGTTACAGTAGTCACGGACCATGTCTGTACGCAATTCAGCACAATGACGCTGTGAGTAATGGGTTATTCTCCTACCTATATTTACCTTTACATATCAAAACATTTATGATAAACTAAAAACAATATATTACACAATACTGTATAATATTAATAAGTCGATCTTATTTAACATGCCAAACTGTTTTCTATTAATAATTGATCTTTATGTCAAACAATTTTTCAATACCATTTTGGACTCGACTAAGACAGGTTCAACTATATATCAAAAGAGCTTTGTTTAGCAATGATTTTAAAGCTTTAATACAAAACACTAATAAACAAAAAACAACAATATATACACCAAAGAATCCTACAGCTTAACAAGTAATTGATGTTGATGATTACGATAGCAATTATCATGAGGGAGACAGATGGGTTTGTATCTTAACTTACCTTTAGCAGTCTTGTTATTTTACTGTCTCTGTAATTCACATACTTCCCCCCTTCACAAAGTGCATTGATACAGTTGCCAAGGGCCAGTAATGAACGGTTTATATGAGCTCCCTCTATCATTCTCTTTCCACGATTCTAAATAAAAACAAAATAATACACATTTTCATAAACAAAATATGTATTATAAATGTCATATGCCAGTCAACTCAACAATTTTGCATGAGAATCACTATTTAAAAAAATTTTTTTTTATTCATTCATATTGTTGAAGTGATTTGGTGCAGCGACAACGGTTTGGTTTTCCAGGCTCAAGGTCAATGCTGTGCATTTCACTTGTGTCCTTGGGTAAGACACTTTACTTGCATTGCTTCTCTCCACCCAGGAGTGTAAGTGGCTTAAATCTATTGACGAAACATTACCTTGGTATGAGACGCCCTCTCAGACCCTGCCAGATCAATCATAAAAAGTTTGCCGACTTTAATACTCTGCGATGTGCTACGTATACGACTACGTTGTTTCACGGTCACTTGTAGCACAGCATGTGAGCGTGATGAGGTCTTGTTGGCTGCCGTTGGTTCCTGGGTGCGTTCTTTATTTCCTTGTACCAGCAAATTCATGATCTAAATTCATAAAAAAAATACAAATGCATAGTTCTTGGTGATCATGTGTACACCACTTAATGGCGCCTTCCAACATAAAAACCGTCTCAAGGTACTTTTTAGCCACTAAGAAACTAATTATTCAATTTATAGACAGGCGTGAACGCGAAGGTCATTAGGAAGGTACAGACCCCCGATTTTGAGATACTGTAGCGTCACCATGACTACCGTGTCCATACTGGTACCTCGGGTCGCTATGTATAAGACCTGCCTTCTTTGTGCGAACTTTGTTAATGAAAGTACATTTGTGTTTGAAGTGTTACCTCTCGTGTAGACCGTGTAGAAATCTCTGAAATTCCAGCCACTTGTACGTTCCCTGAGGCATCTTCCCGTAATTCCAGGACTTCTCCGGTTGGCTTTAATAAATCACGGATCATTTCATTGTATATCTAAAGGGAAAAATATGCCAAACCAAACATAAAAATTAGTGAAATAAAATAAATTATTAGGTGTTCATTAATGGATTTCTACATATTATATTCAGAACACAGAAATCATACCTCTAAATATGACATAGTCACCATGTAAACCGAGTCTTCGCTTTTTGTCTCAATCGCTTTAAACAAGTCATTTAACGTTCGCACCATTATACCCGGCTCATCATCCATTCCAAGCATCGTGTATGTTTTCCCGGCACCTAACAAAACAAGAATAATAATGTACCACCGTAATAAAATCAGGCCATGAATCGCATATTGCGGAGTACTTTAGTTTATATTTCATGTATTGGCACTTCATACAGACATATCAGTATTTTAGAGATTAATAACAAACTACAGCATAAAAAAGACAACAGATTTTTGAAGGGGAAGCTACAGAGGCATGTTATATTTATGATCTTGTTACATGTAAATGTGAAAGACATCATGTAAAACTATAGTGTAGCTTTTACGTAGTACCATAAATACATGGAGATTATACAAAACAAATGTCTTGGAACTTAACAAAATATTTAACAAGATTTCAGGAGTTTATTAAGGGTGATATAGAAGAATAAGAAGCATATTATAAACAAATTTCTGTCAATAAAATGTATACTGTTATTGACTTTTTTGAGGTGTCAGTCAAAGTTAGCAGCTGTCAAATCAAGACAAGGCCAGTAATACCAATTGTTTCACACATACATCTACAGTATGTACATTTACACATCATTTTATGGGGCATTAGAACAATAATGCAAGTGGTAGGTCTTAGCCGAATGGTCTATTTTGTACTGTAACATATGTTTTAAATATAATAACTATTGTATCTAAATTGACTATAGACAGACATTGTCGTTGGACAACCACTATAATATTCTTTCATGCAAAACAATTAATGATCCTAATATCACAATTACTTCATAAATGTATGTACGCATCCTCATCTGCCACACCCACATACTCACACTCCCCTCTCCTCATTACGGCACAAACACACCCATGGGCATTGTACCCCTCCCTGCATGGCGGCAAATTAGTTCCACTGTGTTAAAATAATTAAAAAATGACCATTAAATTTTCGTTGAAGAGGATTTAGTTTTGCATTCCCAATTTTTGCACCCCCACCACCGCCCACCTAAGCCTACATTAAATCCCTGACACCACAAAAAAATATACTGGTATACACACTTAAACAGGATGACCCATATAGCCATTACATACTGTGCCCATATCCATGGATGTACCCAAGCCAGCTGTGGCCTAGCATCCAACCGAGCTTATATAATTTGTCCAAATTCTCCAAAACAATGCCTGTTTGTTGTTGATTATGCCTGGCGTAACCTTCTAACCCTAGCTAATAGACTTGAGCAGACAGGGAGTAGCCTGCACTCAGCTTGGAATCAATTGACTCCCTTAGCTGACCCTCTAAGTAGACAGGGTTCACACTGTAGGTAGTGTCTCCGACTTGATAAGTTTAATTCGGTGCTACATTTATGTTGATATTACATTACCAGCAGGATTAGACCTAGTTAGTACACTAATCTGTGGAATTGCATTGGGACAAAATTTATAACTTTGTGTACAAAGAACAAGAACCTCTTTTGACTTTAGGCAGTGGTGTTATAAATTATTCTATCTGCATGGTAGGTCTCAAGTCGTGGATTTTGCTTATGAATAAAACATAGCAAAAAGTCTACTGATTAATCTTAGATAAGAAAGTATAATATAAAATCCAAGTATCTATAATGCATGCAAAAAAAGTACTTTAGCGTATTAGATTGTGTATATTACGCCCAGCCAACTAAAAATAAAATTTACTTTTCACAAATATAATTTGAAAAAAAACAAAACAAAGGCTTTTAAATGTTTAAACGGCCCATCAGCTTTTTCTTATCAAATTATTCATGTTGTGCATTTGAGCTAAGGATTCTTAGCTTTTCATTTGAAACCAATACGCAATAAGATTTTTGAAGACACATAATTACCAATGGATTACTGCTTCAACCAATCACAGAATGACTATACTTTTCATGCATCCATTTTGGAGGCAAAAAAAAACAAACATGAATGTGCATGAGCCTTATCGATTTAGCTCTGCGATACTCGCAAAACCATCATTACTATATTCCTCCGTAATTGACCTTTTAGAAAAATAACTTGAAGGCATTCATTTCATTTAATTCACATTTTGTTCAATTTAGCACAAGTACTAGACTAGAATAATATCATCAGGTGGTACTGGAATAATACTGTAATTGTCGGTACGGTATAACACAAGATTAAAATAATATTAAGTAAGATTGATAGCCATGGTAACATACTCATTTTAAGAAATTGACTGGATGTAATAATACGATATATAGCGCATATTGTAATGAACTGCCTCTATGCGCTTTTACATAATTACCCCTGGTCACTGGAGCAAACACCTATGGAACACATCCTCAGCTACTTGGGAGCAAAATTCTAGTCTACACTATTACTATTATTAACAAGGAGATCAAACCACAACTTCTGCACTTTCAGCTTCTATCATATTCATTATGCCATTAATATTTGTCATCATTAATTTCAAAGGATATAATTCAACACTGATAACTCAGTTTCTAATTAACTCAATCATCCAATTGCTGAGTCCAGAGACCTCGTTTATTCGAGCTTTATAAATCCTTCTATTATTACTGTATGAAACAATCTATGGAAATACTGTAAGCATAAAAAAATACTATTCTTAAAACATGTATAGATATGCCCCAGGTAATTATTATTGTTATTATAATTTGAGTAATGATACATTTTCTTTCAGTTTGGAAATGCATATTTCATGGGGAGCAGTTGAGAAAAAATTGATTTCAATATAGAATGAAAATGTCATGAACTATTAAATTTTTAATATTTTGTCACCTTTTACCTTTACCACTGTATGAGACAATCTATGGAAGTAAGTGCAATTACACTGTAAGCATAAAAAAAATCCTATTCCTAAAATATGTATAGATATGCTCCAGGTTATTATTATTGTTATTATAATTTGACTAATGATATATTTTCATTTCAATTTGGAAATGCATATTTCATGGGGAGCAGTTGGGAAAAAATTGATTTCAATATAGAATGAAAATGTCATGAACTATTAAATTTTAATATATATTTTGTTACCCTTTAATTTTATTACTGTATGAGACAATCTATGGAAGTACTGTAATTAAACAATAAGCATTACAAAAAAATCCTATTCCTAAAATATGTATAGATATGCCCCCGGTAATTAATATTGTTATTATAATTTGACTAATAATACATTTTCATTTCTGTTTGGAAATTCATATTTCATTGGGATAGGTTGAGAAAAAATTGAGTTTGATATGAAACGGAAATGTCATGAACTATTTTTAAATATGTTTTGTCTTCCTTTACTTTTATTAATGTATGAGATAATCTATGGAAGTACTGTAATTACACTGTAAGCATAAAAAAAATCCTATTCCTAAAATATGTATAGATATACCCCAGTATCGTTATTATAATTTTAGATGGATATGTGCACTATACAAAACTACACTATTATTATTATTATTACTATTATTATTATTATTATTATTAAATATGAATTAAAAATGTCATGAATTATTTCATTTTAATAAATGTTTGGTCATCATTTGCCTTTGATTTTTTGGCTGTATGTTAGTTTTACCAGGAATATTTTTAACAATTGCAAAAAAAAATTCCAAAACATATAAAAATATCCAATATATTAATTCTAGTAGCAAATTTAAAGGTTATTTATACAAATAAGAAGTATATTGTTCAGAAAGTTTAGCATAAATTGTATGTAATTATTGATTAACAAAGAATATGAGTTTTCTAATAATTAGGCTTTTTTTTATTCCTTGTTTCGTGTACTTATTCTTTTAAAGATCATCGTCGGAGGGCGCAAAAAATTAAAAATAAATTTGTGTTCTTTATTATTTAGCAATTAATTTTGACAAAAACATCCAGACGGAGGAGAAAATAAAAATAAAATGTTATTGGTGAATGCAAAATAGAATGGTTATATGCTTCAAATTGACATAGTTAGGAAGAAATATACATATACATCTTATCTTTGGAGATTTCAAAGCAGTGGAGGGTGTAATAAAAATAAGGAAAAACTTTTATTTATTTTTTTTAATTTCCACTTTTTTGTGGTGGCAGGTGTGCTAAATTGGCCCAAAATAGAATTTTTTTATATTCGAAATCATCAATATTAGCAGTCAGCGGGTTCACTAAACAAGGTATAAATAGTGTCTCGACTCATCAACACAAAGCGTTGACACAATCAACTTTTTCAAATAATCACAGTAAAACGTAAAAATTATAAATAAAAATTCAATAAACATTTACTTTATATACAATAATTAACAAAGCTAGACCTAAAAAATAGACAAAAGCAAGAAAAAGCACCCAAACAAACAAAACTGGGGGAGGTTGAAAACCATAATAGCAATAGGGACTTTCGATTTGCAAAGATATAGAATGTAATGACGTCATGTTAATTTAACTGTGCATGTATGAATGTTGCGAGTTACATTCTCTGGAAGGTTTTTGGCCGAATCTATGTTCAGGCCAGAACAAGGACTACTGTATTAAACATGGTACATCAGTCTTGGCATTTGTGACATCTTAAAACATCGCAATTGATTTTACAGTAGAACGCACGTGACAACAGTTACGGTTGAGTGAATCTGTACTACTTTCTCAATCGAAAAATAGGCTCCCTTACAATATGTCAACCAACCTCAAAAACCTATGAAATGTAACAGCAGTCGATTTACTATCAAAGCACTTGTTACCTGTGGCCCCGTAAGCAAAGACTGTCGCATTCAACCCTTCTGTGACATCATCAATAAGTGGCTTAGCTGTCTTTTGGTAGACATCCTCCTGTAAGATGAAAGAAGAGGAGAAAGTAAGAAGTAGCAGCTTTGTATCTAGCTTCCCCCCTGTAGAACTCCCTGCTTTGGTGCACCTCTATTAAGGGGCCACGTTTTTGGTCCCGAAGGGATTTTACTGCATATTGACTTGAGTCACTGATGGCATTTAGAAATTCCAAAATTTGATAAATTTGCAACTTTCGTTTTAAAAATTTCTCCCTCTAATGTTTCCCTTGAATTTTTTCCCATAGATGTTCAAAAATCTTCCAGTATCATTTCAGCTTCTAACTTTACAACTAAAATCTGCATTTTGCTTGAAAATACATCTAGACCATCATCAAGCTTATAACAGTAAACGCAAGCCACTTACATAGCAGATTGTATTTTTTTTTTTATCCGACAGTACTTGGTAAAGCAATGATATAATGTACTGTGGTAGTGCAGCTAGTTCAAGAACATACTTTATAAAAGAACAATGTTTAGACAAGACTTTTTTTATACCTTGTTTCGTGGACCTTGTTTCGTGGACTCGCTGCACACCAATATTGATTATTTGGAATAAAAATAAAATATAATTTTTTTTGCCAATTAGCACACCCGTCGCCACAAAAAAACAAAGAGGGAATTTCAGAAAAAAAAAAGTTTTTCTTTATTTTTATTACGCCTGCTGCTGTCTTAAAATCTCCAAAAATAAGATATGTATATTTCTTATTCAATATATAAATTTAAAGCATTTTACCATCCCATTTACTACACTGTTTACATTCAACAACAATATTTTTTTTTTCATTTCTCCCATCTTGAAGTTTTTGGCAAAACCATTTGCTAAATAAGAAGATTAAACTTTATTCTATTTTTTCCGCCCTCCTCTGACGAATTTAAAAAAAAAATAAGTTCAACTTTGAGACATTTTGTAGAAAAACTTATTACAGAACTCGTGGGTGCTTCTGCACGTTCACTATAGTTTCATATTTCTTTACAAATTGAGAATGACTTCATGCCTAATGTTAAATTAATGTTTAATGTAAATATTCTTAAGTATGAACGGAAATAAAAAAGCGAAGAAAACCGTTGACACAACTGAAGCAATATTTGATAAAAGAAAATATATGTTTATTGCATGATCGTTACAATTGGTAGTCCATAGAAAATAGGTTAATGGTGATCATAAAAAAAATCTATAAAACAAAATTTCAATGAGTTGATACTTGATTATCCGTAGGGTAATAGTTTTTATGCCAAATGTTCTGAATACAAGTCATAATAATAGATCAATAATAAATTGTTAAATTCATTTTAGTAAGCAATATACGACGCTACTATAATATGAAATACAAATGCAGTATCATATATTTTTCATATTGTGTATTAATAATAAAAGATGAACATGCAGCTTCTTAAACTTGTAATGAATAGAAAATTGATTTTTCTCATTTATCAACGACTTATTTTGCCTACATAAACTAAAAAGCATCATAAATCCATAAAAAAAGTGCAATATCATATCCTGTATAATTTTTTATGTGGTGTGCAGCTTAAGTTTTCTATAAAAGGATATTGATACTCGATTCTCTCAGTATAAAGCGCTATATAAATCTAACTCAATTACATGAATATGAAGCACTGAGTTGATGGCGTGTGGGTGTGTGTGTGCATCAGGAAAATATCATAGTCCTAGTAAGTCTTTGGTATAACGAATACTCAGTACGTAGAGTACAAAGTACTCGGTAAGATAACATGGCAAAACATCAGTCCTGATAATTTATCTTATTATTGCATTCTGAATACAGTAGAAAAAAAACTTCATTTCTGCTTAACTCGCACTAACTGTAGATTTGTAAATTGCTGTGCTTGGTTTGATATGAAACAGTCCTAAAATGGTAAAAATGATGCTGTTGTCAACAGTATTTTATGAGTATTATTTAAAAAAAAAAAAAAAAAATTATTTTTAATATAAATTGAGAAACAATTGTTGTCACTACTGTGCGACCTTTTCAACATGACCACTACTCATCCAACTTAGTGCTAACACTATTATTTAGCATCTATATCACCCACTACCATAGGCCTTGCATTTCACTATTTTATGTGGTTATTGTTCAAACACTTGTCATTAATTCTATAAGTGCTTTTATCAAATAGCAAACAAACAATACTGTTCATGGTAATTACAGGCAAATCTTTTCAGTTTTCTGCCACTGTTATGGCACCAACCTGACCACTACTCATAAAACACAGTGCTGCCACTATCATTTAGCATCTCTATCACCCACTACCATTGGCCTCCTTGTATTTCACTATTATGTGGTTATTGTTCAAACACTTTCCATTAAATTTATAAAGTGCATTTATCAAATAGCAAACAATGAAGTACATGGTAATTATAGGCAGTCTTTTCAGTTTTCTAGTTAAGTTGATTTAAATCAAAATTGTCTCTTCAATACTTAAATGTCATCAACCACTTGACACTTAATAGGTAATATTCAACACTTAATAATAAATGACAGGTAAAATGTAGAATTAAGTGGTTGTGATTTATTTAATCTATACCCACAACATGCAAGATTATTAAAGTTTCATCCAAGTATCAACTAGAATAACTCCTTGCAGTAAAGCATATCCTCCCTGCAGTGAAAATTTCCTTTGATTTGATTTAGCCAGCCTATCACGCTAAAAGGCAGGTTAAACCATAGAGATATAAAAAAAAAGATGATTCAACCAACATAATTGAATTCCCTATTAGAGCTACTGCAATGCCTAATTACCTTTCTCCAACACTGATTGGCTCACTACTTCAAAAAGCCCGCTATCTGGTTACCACAGTGGGATGTAAACTTTCGTTCATATCGCAGCCACTTGTTCATGAATATTTTACTCTCAATTAATGGCCACTTAGCAACGTCAAGTTGCAGACCATACCGTATACTTGAATAAGCGCCGCTTTCGAATAAGCGTTGCACCTAACGCTAAGTGCCACAGCACAATACAATAATACAATTAAATACAATTTACACATACATAATAGTGTTAAATATATAAGTAACACAATGACGACGCAAGCATTTCTTTATTAAACGTTTACTTACGATGAAGTAAGACCTCCTCTACGATAAGCCTACTGAACTACAGGAATATGCGAGATAAAAGCCCCACGCCAATATTATTTTATAAGTGCCGCTCTCGAATAAGCACCGTATTGAAGCCTCCAAAAATGTTATAAGCTGAAAGCTCTGTCGCGTTCATTCTGAAGCCATGTTTGATAGAGCATAATTCGAA